AAGGCAAATGAGGAAATGACGACAAGAAAAGGGTCCATCGTTAAAACGAAATATGAAAAGTGACGAGCATGAAATATGACATTAAATTACATGTGAGGAACAGATACCTTCTTGTTTATGTTAAAGCAGGATTTGAGCAGGACAGATTGCTTGGGTGCAGCCAGCAGGCGGAAGCGCTTTTCGGACTCATAGCAGTCGATACGGGCAGGACTTGAGTACATCTCCTGGCGTAGCACGAAGAAACGCTTCTTGCCCTTCTGAAAATCAGAACATGTTGGATGATACGACATGAAAGCTGCAAAAACAGATCAGTGAACCTGCCTTGCCCACCGGCCGACAAGGGCTAGCGGTCATCGCCACACGGCCACACGTAAGCAAAGCAGATTCACTGGCACATACATGAAACAGTCGTGTTTTACCTGATCACCGCAACATACACTCACTCACCTTGCCCTTGCGCAGCACGCCGGCCTTGATCACGTTGTCGATGATGGGGTCGCGCGATTCACCCTCGGTGTCCATCGGCAGCGGCGACAGTGAGGCGAAACGGCGACGGATGCAGTCGGCAACAGCGGCACGGTGGCGGCGGCACCCACAGCGATGATGAAGTGAGCGGCGGCGACGAGGACGGCGACGTACGCGACAACCACGGCAGCGGCACAGACGGGGCGCGGCACAAACGACGCCGAGCCGAAACGCGTGCGGCACACCACGGACCACTACGCACCGCACTTTTTACCTCAAATCAAACGAAGGCCTGCTGTATGCATGAAGTAAATCCATCAAATCAAAATATTTGTTTCCCCTCATTTAATTATTTTGTCCAAGTGACGCCGAACATTGCATTATCTGTGGTGACATCTGGTGAACGAACGATCGCCGCCAACAACCTGATAATCAGCAAATGACGTCATGTATACTGTACCGCATTTCATTGGCTGAAGCAAATAGCTTGCAGTTGCATGATCGTTTGACGATTGCTTGCGCGGTCAGTTTACTCCTCATGTACTAGTGAGAAGCGGAAATAAAACTAAGAATTCGAAATCATGACCCCGATGTTCCTGGGCTGACTTTATGAGGAGAGTGGCTTTCGATACCTAAGTCGACACACTACATTAAAATAAATTTTATCTAAAACTAAGAATTGT